GGGGGGGTGGGTGCATGTGGGAGGCTGCCCTCTGCCCCACCTGTTCTTAGAGACTTGGTTGGGGTGAAGACCCTCAAATCTGAGGGCTCTCCTCACACCCTGTCAGCTCTGGGGTCCCAGCCCAGAGCCCCTGTAACAATTCTACCCCTACAAGCAACCCAAGCACTGGACACCGGCTTCTTCTTCCAGGGTGACCCAGGGAAGGACGGAGTGGGGCAGCCTGGGCCCCCCGGGCCCCCCGGACTCCCGGGGCCCGTCGTCTACGTGTCGGAGGAGCAGGACGTAAGGACACTGCATGGGTGGGCACATGCTTTGCCTGGACCCCCCAGTGCAGGGCTGACCCCCAACTGCCAGGGGCCACGCTCTGATTCCAATGTGGGCTGGGAGGACGGTGGTCAGAGCCACCAGCCCTCCCCCCATAGGTTGACCCCCAAGGACATCGGGGTGTCCAGTCTTGGTTCTGTGGGGCTTCTCGTCGAAGCCAGGCCTTCCAGCAGCCCGTGTGGCTGAGTTGCCCCCTCCGGCCTCCATTGCACAGCAGGGGAGGCGGGGCACTGGGCCCCTGGTCCCAGGGTCCTGGGCGGTTCTCCAGTCCAGGAGGCGGCTCCCAGAAGTGGCTTCACTTCTCCTCTGAGGGACCTAGGGCACAAGCCAGGACGGTTGAAAGCAAAACACTGCCCCATGTTTGGTTTCTAGAGTTGTCCTGTTTGTCTTGTGACAGTGGTGAGAGTAGAATTTTAACTGTATACGTGGTTTTCTTTTCATGATTTCGTGTTTCTGCCGGCTTGGTGACAGAGAGCGGTGTCCGTAACCCATGGGGTCAAGGTACGTGCCGCCCTGCCTGGAATGCGGTCTGGCTGCACGGCGCCGGTCGGCGTCCCCCGTGACACTGTTGCTCTCTCCCACAGGGCCAGCCGGGGTACGCAGGCCTCCCCGTAAGTAGCCTCAGCCCCACCCCCGCCCTGGCAGGGAGCAAAGTTTCCATGTTGTGAGGAACCTTTTGACCCCTTAGCAGGAGCCCCCCGGGTCTAGCAGGGGGTCTGGGGCCTGTAACTGGTCAGGAACACGAAGCAGGTGCATCCTGGGAGATGAGCGGGGAGGGAGCGTGAATGCCCATCACGGGGACTGGTCGCTCGAGCCGCCTTTCATTCCTGCCTGTCTACCTGCAGGGACCAGCTGGGCCGAAGGGAGACACGGGCATCAGTGGCCAGCCAGGCCCCCCGGGACCCAAGGTGAGGAGTTGGATGTCATCTGCTCAGGGGTCGGCCCCCTCTGTGAACCCTGAGGGGCAGTCCTGGTCCACCCCGGTGACCACTCCCTGGGAAGGCGGGGGACCTGGGCGCTCCCACGGACTACCTGAAGTCTGGGACAGATTCTCCTCTTAGTCACTCAGTGTGACCCATGGGGGACCCACCAAGACTCCCAACCACAGAGCCCCAGAGGGCAGGCCTGCTTACATGCACCCGTTCTGGGGAGTTCGTGTGGACCCCGGAGTTGGGGCTCTGCTGCGGTAGTTGGAGGGCCCTCTCCCTGGAGCTGACCTCCCTGACTGCGCTGCTCGGGTTCTAGGGTGAGAAGGGTGAGCCCGGCATGGTCCTCAGTCCCGACGGCAGAGTGCTGCCCCCTGCCCAGAAAGGAGCCAAGGTGAGCCGCCGGGCCTTGCTTTTCTCTCCTGTACCAGCTGGGGAGCGGGGTTTCGGACCAGGGA